GACGGGGTTTCATTTTGTTGGCCAGTCTGGTCGTGACATCCTGACCTCAGGTGACCCCTCCTCGGCCTCCCAAAGTGCTGGAACTTCAGGCGTGAGCCCGGCTAATTTTTGTAGTGTTAGTAGAATGGGGTTTTGCCATGTTGACCAAGCTGGTCTGGAACTCCTGACCCGAAGCGATCCGCTCCCCTTGGCCTCCCACAGTGCTGAGGTTACAGGCGTGAGCCATCACGCCTGGCACATCTGAGCAACCCCTTGAGTCTCATTCTGCTCATCTACTCAATGGAAAAAATACTTTCAGCTGTTGGGTGTGCTGGTCATGCCTGTAATCCCAGCACTTCGGGAGGCCAAGGTGGGCAGATCACAAGGTCAGGAGTTCGAGACCATCCTGGTCAATATGGTGAAACCCATCTCTACTAAAAATACAAAAAATTAGCCGGGCGTGGTGGTGGGCGCCTGTAATCCCAGCCACTCGGGAGGCTGAGGCAGGAGAATCGCTCGAACCTGGAAGGCGGAGGTTGTAGTGAGCAGACATCACACCACTGCACTCTAGCCTGGGTGACAGAGCGAGACACATTCTCAAAAAAAAACACAAAACCTCCCATCTGGGCCACTCTGAGGATTACTATGAGGACCAAAAGGCGATGCAACTGGAACCAGGTCAAGCTGCCATGTTTCACCTACTGGCTTGGCGAGGGGATGGGACCCAGGCCTTCCTGTCCGCTCTTGGTGGCATTACTAGTTGCGCTAAGGCTGTTAAAAAAAATGAGCCTGGGCTGGAATGTGGTGGCTCACACCTGTAATCCCAGCCCTTTGGGAGGCCAAGGTGGGTGGATCACCTGAGGTCAGGAGTTCAAGACCAGCCTGATCAACATGGTGAAACATTGTCTCTACTAAAAATACAAAATTAGTCAGGCATGGTAGTGGGCGCCTATAATCCTAGCTACTCGGGAGGCTGAGACAGGAGAATCGCTTGAACCCGCGAGGCAGAGGTTGCAGTGAGCCGAGATCGTGCCACTGCACTCCAGCCTGGGCGACAAGAGCGAAATTCTATCTCAAAAAAAAAAAAAAAAAAAAAAAAAATGAGCCTGTTCTCTGCATCGTGGTGTAGACCAAGTTTCAAGATATAAAGTCGGGTGAATAAAACACAGTTCAGAATTACATGCTTAAAAACAGAAAACTGGGGATGGTTTTCTAGGAATGAAGAATCTGGGCAGGATGTTATGGGACTGGGAGCTGCAGCTATCTTGAGAGGAAAACAAAATAGAGTGACCAGCAGGCAGGAACGGGAGTGAGACTGGTTTCTCGCTGTAGGCCCGTTTGTTCCTTTTGTCTGTATTCCTACTCAAAACATAAAAACAAACTAATAGGCGGGGCACGGTGGCTGATGCCTGTGATCCCAGCACTTTGGGAGGCCAACGGGGGTGCGGATCACCTGAGGTCGGGAGTTCAAGACCAGCCTGTCCAACACGGTGAAACCCCGTCTCCACTAACAATACAAAGATTAGCCGGGTATGGTGGCTCATGCTGGTAATCCCAGCTACTTGGGAGGCTGAGGCACAAGAATTCTTTGAACCCAGGAGGTGGAGGTTGCAGGGAGTCGAGATTGCACCACGGCCCTCCAGCCCCGGCAATAGAGCAAGACTCCGTCTCTAAATAAATAAATAAATAAATAAACAAATAACTTCAAAGATGGAAAAAAGAGACGGGGCTGGGAATAATGGCTCATGCCTGTAATCCTAGCACTTTAGGAGGCCAAAGTGAGAGGATTACTTGAGGAGTCTGAGACCAACCTGGGCAACATTGTGAAATCTCATGTCTACAAAAAATACAGAAATTACCTGGGTTACACAATTAAATCTACGCCTCTAGGAAAATGGCCGACGAATCTGCATCTTTCCTTTTTTTTTTTTTTTTTAAGTCCCAGCTACTCGGGAAGCTGAGGAGGAAGGATCACCTGAGTCTGGAAGGTTGAGACCGCAGTGAGTCATGACTATACCACAGTATCCCAACCTGGGCGAAACAATGAGACCCTGCCTCAAAAAAAAAAAAAAAAAAAGAGACTGCTCGGATTTCCACAAAGCTGTGCTTCTAAACACCGGATATGTACTGGCTACATCAGAAGCATCCAGGACAGGACAGGCACGGTGGCTCACACCTGTAATCCCAGAATTTTGGGAGGCTGAAGCGGGCGGATCACCTGAGGTCAGGAGGTCGAGACCAGCCTGGCCAATAGGGTAAAACCCCATCTCTATAAAAATTAGCCAGGCATGGTGGTAAGCGCCTGTAATTCCAGCCACTCAGGAGGCTGAGGCAGGAGAATCGCTTGAACCCGGGAGGTGGAGGTTGCAATGAGCCGAGATTACGTCACTGCACTCCAGCCTGGGCGACAGAACAAAACTCCATAAAAAAAAAAAAAAAAAAAAAAAAAAGACAAAACTTGGCAAGAAAAACTTCAGGGCTCCTGTCCTACACGATTAAATCTATGCCTCTAGGAAAATGGCCCAGGAATCTGCATTTTTTTTTTTTTTTTTTTTTTTGGGGGGGGTTTTTTTTGTTGGTCTTCCCTAAAGTGACAGACCCAAACTGAACTATCTGCAACTTCTCCCTCCTGGGTTCAACCAATTCTCCTGCCTCAGCCTCCCAAGTAGCTGGGATTACAGGCACCTGCCACCACGCCGGGCTAATTTTTGTATTTTCAGTAGAGACTGGGTTTCACCATCTTGGACAGGCTGGTCTTGGAACTCCTGACCTCGTGATCCACCAGCCACAGCCTCCCAAAGTGCTGGGATTACAGGCATGAGCCACAGTGCCCGGCCAGGAATCTGCACCTTAAACACACGTTCCATCTGGAAGCATAGATGGGCTAGAGAAGCTAAGAGCAGCAGTGGCCTCAACTAAAGCTACTGCTCATCTTGGGAGATCTGTACAGGGCTTGTTTAATTTCCTTTCCTCGCAGACAGGCCTCCATACAGTGCTTAGCAAGCTGTAGGTGTCCAATAAATATTAAATGGTGTGATGATTCACCAGGAGGTAATGAGCTCAGGATGGAACCAAAGAGAAATTGACCTGGGGCCAGAAAAACATCTCATGCAACAGCTACCTTGAAGGATTTCCGACCTATCCATCCAGGCTGGGGACAGGCACAGCCTGGGGAAAGATAGCAAGTATGAAACCAGGGAAACTTCAGTTTCCTAGACACACCACAGGTGTTAAAGTAAAATACCCTCAGCAAGCAACATCAGTGGGCCCCGGACCCCTGAGAAGGGGCTGCCAGATCCTCGGCACTCAAAGTACAACTGATGACTGAATCCTCAATTCTGGACCATGAGCTCCCAGAAGGCAAAGGACTGTGCCTGAGTGTTCCTGGTCCCCATGACACATGTGCATCGCAGGTGTCACCATCGAAACATCTGCGGATCCTGGAGCAAATGCTCACAGGCATCCAGCCCAGGCCGAGACGAAGGAGAGGCACAGACAGGCGGCCTCAAGACCCCGGGTTCTCAAGCAGGACCAGGCACCCCAAAGAGACTCCATCCTCCACTCACAAAAGCCAAAGGCTGGGCCCCTCCTGCCTTCCTCCGCTCAGACCACCTCGGGTATCCTTTTCTTCCCTAACGGCCAAGCTTTCCCTAGCTCGTGGTCAGTTCCCTGGGCCTCCCTGCCAGCTTCATGCCCGCCCCTGCTAAGCCTGGGCTACCCCTGGCCCCCAGCCTCTCACAGAAACCTCAAAAACAGTGTGGTTACAGCAGAGGAAAGAACCCCAACCCAGTTTCCCCACTCCCCATCTCACCCCAAAATACTGAAGAGTAAGGCACCTTTCTCCCATCCTTCCACGGCCTTTTAGCCATTTGCCTTCCACTTTTCTATATTCCTTTCTTTCCCTGACTATTTCCAGAAACCCATTTGCCCATGAGATGTCATCTGATTCTTGATGTTTTTTTCCACCTGAGAACGCTCACGTCTACACACGATGGCCTTTTCACTCCTCTAAAATCTGGCAGTAACAGTGGAAGAGGGGACTGTTCTCAAAAGAAAAAAATGTGTTTTCCTAAGAAAACAAAGTTTTAAGAGAGCTATGACAACACTCTGTTAGAAACTCGGGCTGGCTGGGCGCAGTGGCTCACCCCTGTAATCCCAACACTTTGGGAGGCTGAGACGGGTGGATTACCTGAGTTCAGGAGTTCGAGACCAGCCTGGCCAACATGGTGAAACCCTGTCTCTACCAAAAATACAAAAATTAGCTGGGCATGGGAGAGGGCACCTGTAATCCCAGCTACTCGGGAGCCTGAGGCAGGAGAATCAGTTGGACCCAGAGGCAGAGATTGCAGTGAGCCAAGATCACGCCACTGCACTCCAGCCTGGGCAACAGAGCAAGACTCTGTCTCAGAAAAAAAAAGGATGGGTGCAGTGGCTCATGCCTGTAATCTCAGCACTTTGGGAGGCCGAGGCGGCCAGATGACAAATCAGGAGATTGAGACCATCCTGGCTAACACAGTGAAACCCCGTCTCTACTAAAAATACAAAAAAATGGTGGTGGCGGTCGCCTGTAGTCCCAGCTACTCGGGAGGCTGAGGCAGGAGAATGGCGGGAACCCAGGAGGTAGAGCTTGCAGTGAGCCAAGATTGCACCACTGCCCTCCAGCCTGGGCGACAGAACGAGACTGTCTCAAAAAAAAAAAAAAGAAAGAAAAAAGAAACTTGGGCTGATTCTCGAGCAGGGGTTCTTGCCAGGGCTGATTCTGTCCCATTCCCCTCCACCCAGGGGACACTGGGCAATGTCTGGGGACATCTATCATCACCATGAATGGGGTGGGGGTGGCCTTGGCATGGAGTAGGTGGTGGCCAGGGACACTGCTCAGCACCTGCAGGGCCCCGAACGCCCCACCACAGGGAACGATCACGCCCCATGTGTCCACAGTGCCCAGGCGAGAGACCCTGTCTGGAGGCCTCTTCTCGCCTCAGAAGCACCCTTTGCGCTCGTTCTCCACCGCGGGTACTCACCGGAGGGGCGCTGTAGCTGGCGTGGGGGTTGTTCTGGATCTCCCACAGCCCTTCATTGAAGCCTTTCCTCTTGTTGGGTTTCCCGTACTTGTCTTTACATTTGTCATAGGGGAACAGGTCCTTGGGTCCCAGGAAGGCTCTGGAGAAGGGAAACGGGGGCCAGTCTCAGGTGAGTGTGGCCACTCCAGGAGGCACCAGAGAAAACCAAGCCCCAGCAGAGGACACTTACGTTTCGTGCGTGCCAAAGAAAAAGATGGGGTACTTGTTGGGTGGGGGCTTCACGGCGCCGTCAGCAATGTCATCGATCTGCAGTGAGAGGCCAGTCAGGGGCGGCTTTACCCATGGACCCAGGAAGTCACCAAGAAATCAGCCAAGTTACTTGGGGCAAATCACGCTGGGAGGAGGGGAGCCTTCAACCCGGGAAGCAGCAGCCCCTTCCCAATGGGAAGCTGCATTCTTCTGTGTCCCCTCCACTGCAAAGCTGTGCCTCATCCAGAGAGATCTCCCCTGACCCCAGGGAGACAGCTGGCCCACCCAGGGCAGGTGCTCTACCTGAGCAAAGCCAGATCCGGCCCTCTGAAGCAACCAGGGGGTGGGGCCAAGCTCAGCGTCTCTGGACTCCCAGGACCTTCCCTGGGGACCCCTTCTGCAAAGAGGGGCTCATGGGTGGTCCCCCAGAGGATGCAGCTGGCAGCTCCAAGGATGCAGAGGGTGGGGGGTGGGCTACAAGAAACGGCCCTGAGCATCCAGGAAGTCCCACCCTCTCCCTGCAGGCCCATGGGCTCCGGCAGCTGTCAGTCACCTCCCCACTGGAGGCTAACAGCCCCTTCACTTCCAATCAGGTGCTTGGAAACGTCTGGGGCTAGGAGAGCAGGCTGGAGAAGGGGGGACGGGGTAGAGAAAAGCGAGTGCTCTGGGAAGAAGAGAGCTGGGAAAGGGAGGAAGTGCCTGGAAAGTTGCATTGCTCTGGTCTCCCCCAAGAAAGTCAGCGCGAGCGCAGCAGGCTAGAGTGGCTTCTCCGCTCCCAAGGCATTCCTTCCCCATCCACCTCTCCAGCTTCTGGGGGCTCCTGATCTTCCCTGCCCCACTCACCCAGCTTCCTTCTTGCTTGGGTCTCCTCGGAGCTACTCTCAGAGTCCCGGCCCCTGGGTTTGGCCATGGGCAGCCAGACCCAGCATCCCTCTCCCACCAGAAGCATCCCAAACTCAGTCCACCCGAGGACCAGCCTGGCATGCTTCACAGGCCCCTTTTCCTCCTGCCTCACCCAGGACCCGCCCACGGTACTCCAAGGCCCACCCATCCCAGCGGCAATGCCAGCTTCAGCCCTGGGCTAGTTCTGGACCAGGGCACCGTCTGGCCTCCCCTTCCACGGCCCCTCCCTGCTGCCCCAGCCTTCCACCCCCAATGCCAAATTCCTCAGTCCTGCCCGGCCAACTCCACCAACCTCAGCCCTGGGAGACTCAGCCCTAAGACCTGGGGATGACAAAAGCCTGGGGTCCCTGCTCCCCGCTGGCCTGTCCCGCTCAGGGCCTGGAAGTCACCCCCTCCACACCTAGGACTCCAAGGTGCAGAACATCCTTCAAGCCAGGACACCTGGGACTATCCAGGTCCTCGGGACCCCAGTTTCCATAAAGGGGCATCCAAGGTCCCCTCAGCCAGCCCCCTTCCCTCAGATGTGCTCCCACTCTCTGGGCCTGGGCCTGTCTCCATTTCAAGCATTAGGTTGGACCACCCCACCCTCAAGTCCCTCCAAAACCAGCTTCTACATTCGCCTCCCCACAGGGGGCCAGTTCCCAGGGTCCCCCAACAGCCCCGATGCTGACTTCATTCTAAGGTCTAGTTCCCCGAGTCCCAATGACCCTGTGAACAGAGCCTCCAGCCCCATTACCCCAACCCCAGCACCTCACTCAGAAGTCCCAGCTTCCCTTAGCCTTGATCCTCAACTTTCCCCCATGACTGCCTCCTCCAACCGTGGACCCCTAGCACATGGCCCTCAGCCCCCCAGTCCCTCAAAACTGGGCTTCTGCAGGACCTGCAAGGGAGTACTTCAGCCTCCCATCACATCTGACCCCTGGCCTCAAATCTCAAGTTACCCCGTTTTACTCAAACTTCAATCTTGAGCCCTCAGGCCTGGGACCCCCAGACCCTCAGGCGAGGGTCCCTCAGGTCCCAGACCCTCCCAGACACCCTGCACCTGGCTCCTCGAGGCACCCCAGACACCCCCCCCCCAGATACACAAGGCGCGGCTCCCTCCGGCCCAGGACACCTCCAGACTCCCAGGGCGCAGCTCCCTCAGGCCTAGGACCCCCAGACCCCCAGGGCGAGTTTCTAAGGCCCTAGATACCCCTAGAACCCCAGGGCACAGCTTTCTCAGGCTCAGGACCCCCAGACCGTTGGCGCACAGCTCCTTCAGGCCCTGGACACCCCCAAACATCCAAGACGCGGCTCCCTTGGGCCCAGGACACCCCCTAAACCGCCACAGCACGGCTCCCTCAGGTCCAGGACCCCCATTCCCCCAGGGCGAGAATTTATCAGGCTCCAGAGTCCCAGGGCACGGCTTCCTCGGGCTCAGGACCCCTAGAACGTGGGCAAGCGACTCCTTCAGGCCCCAAACACCCCCAAACTCCCAAGGTGCGGCTCTCTCGGGCCCAGAACACCCCCAGACTCCCAGGGTGCGATTCCCTGAGGCCCAGGACCCCCAGACCCCACGGCGCAGCTCCTGCAGGGCTCAGGCAGCCCCAGAACACCTAGGCGTGGCCCCCTGAGGCCCAGGACCCCCAGACCCTGGGGCGCGGCTCCCGCAGGGCTCGGACACCCCCAGAACCCCAGGACTCAGCTCCCTGAGGCCAAGGACCCCCAGACCCCGGGAGGGGCTCCTGCAGGTCCAGACCGCGGGTCCGGCAGGATGCGAACACCCCCAGACTCCAAGAACACGGCTCCCTGCAGCCCAGGACCCCCAGACTCTAAGGGCGGGGCTCCCTGAGGCCCAGGACCCCTAGACCCCTGGGCGCGGCTCCTGCAGGCCCCGGACATCCCCAGACCCCCAGGGCGCGGCTCCGGCAGGCCCCGGACACCCCTAGACCCGTAGGGCGCAGCTCCCTGCAGCCCAGGACCCTCAGACCCCCACGGCGCGGCCGCGGCGGGCCCCGGACACCCCCAGATCCCAGTAACCTCAGATCCCAGGGGCGCAGCTCCTTCAGGCCCAGGACACCCCCTGCCCTCCGGTGCGCGCCTGCCTCTGGCCCGGGGCCCCCGCTCCCCCACCCCCACCCCCAGCGGCCCCATCACCCGCGCGGCCTCACCCGGGCCGGCCAGTGAGGGTAGCCCTTCATCTTAGCGAACACCAAGTCCCCAGGCTTGAAGGCGTGTGGCATGCTGACTGCGGGAGGCCCAGGCCGCGGAAAGCGGCTGCGGCGGCGGCAGCAGCGGCGGCAGCGGGAGGCGAAGCCGGGGGCGGGAGCGGGACGCCGAGGGGGCGGGGGCGGCTGCCTGGGCAGCCTGCCGGCGCGCGCTTATTGGGCGTTCCGCCAACGGAAGTTCAGCCCTCCGGCCGTCACGGGCCTGCAAAGCCGTCGTTCAGGACCACGTGCAGAGGACAGAGAAGCTAGGCGACCAATGAGAACAGAGGTTGGAGCACAGTAGTTAACGGGATTGGATAACGGACAGAACCAAGGGGCGTAACCTAGATACTCTAATGGGAGGTTATGGGAGGTGAAAGGGAAAGGTAGGAGGAGACGAACAGAGGCGCTAAGAGAGTGAAGGGGTGGAGCTTAAGGGAAAGAGGCGGGACATAGACCGCTACAAGAGAAGGGGATATAAGTAGGGCAGAACATTGGATACCACAGAAAAGAAGGCCAATCAGTCAACGCAAGGGGCGGGTCATTGACAGCCTCTCCCGCTCAGGAGGAGGGGCTTAAAGTAGAGATGCAAGACACTGGATACCACAAGAGAAGCGCCTCAAGGTAGGGAGCAGGCATTGGCCATTACAAGAGGCGGGGCTTCAGCGGGAACGTCGGCCATTGGCTATCGAAAGAAGAGCGATACAACATAAAACAGGGATGGGAGATTGCCAGCTCGAGGGGGCGGGGCTTAGAGGAAGGGGCAGGCTCTCGGGGAGCTCTTAGGATAAACAGTAGCAAAATGCACAGAATAGTTATTTCTTCACTTGGTTAAAAACTTACTGAGTACCTACTATATGCCAGGGCCGCCAAACGCCCCACAGACATATTCATTCAAGAAAAATGTACTGAATACCGTGGGGCCGTGGCGCTTGATTGTCCTGGGCTTTCAGTCTCTGCACTTGGAGAATGGGGCCCATGATGGTACCGATCTTGCAAGATCTTATAGGATTGTGAGGACCCTGCTCTAGACTGAGCCGGGCAACAGGAAATACAGGAAGTATTAGAAGCTATAACTCGGCCGGGCGCGGTGGCTCACGCCTGTAACCCCAGCACTTTGGGAGGACGAAGCGGGAGGATCACGAGGTCAGGAGTTCCAGACTAGCCTGGCCAACATGGGGAAACCCCGTCTCTACTAAAAATACGAAAATTAGCCGGGCGTGGTGGCCGCTCACCTATACCAGCTACTCAGGAGGCTAAGGCAGGAGAATCACTTGAACCCAGAAGGTGGGGGTTACAGTAAGCCGAGATCGCGCCACTGCACTCCAGCCTGGGCGACAGAGCGGAAAAAAAAAGAAGCTATAACTCTACCTTCCAGGAATGAAGTATACCAGGGCCAAGAAATGTTAACTTTTTAAATTTGTTGATGTTGTTATGTTTTGTTTTGCTTTTTTTTTTTGTAATTAGGATCCATGGTAAGAACTAAAAAGAACCAGGGTGCTTGAGGAAAAAAATGCTGAGTAATGGAGACGACTTCTTCTCTCCTGGGGGATTACAGAGGGTTACTGGATGAGGTCAGTTTAACCAGACACTGAGAGGATGAACAGAAGTTGGACGCTATAGTGAGGCGAGCCCTGGGAGGGCATGAGGAGCAGAGGGAAGAGCAAAAACAAGCATCTGATCCTCACTTAAGGTCAGGAGTACTAGACCAGCCTGGCCAATTTGGTGAAAGCCCATCTCTAGAAAAAATACAAAACTTAGCCAGGCGTGGTGGTGGGCGCCTATAGTCCTAGCTACCTGGGAGGCTGAGGCAGGAGAATCACTTGAACCTGGGAGGCGGAGGTTGCAGTGAGCCGAGACCGCGCCACTGCACTGCAACCTGGGTGACAGGGCGAGACTCCGTTTCAAAAAACAAACAAGACCAGGCGCGGTGACTCACGCCTGTAATCCCAACACTTTGGGAGGCCAAGGCGGGTGGATCACTTGAGGTCAGGAGTTCGAGACCACCCTGGCCAACATGGTAAAACCCCATCTCTACTAAAAATGTGAAAAATTAGCTGGGCATGGTGGCATGCACCTGTAATTCCAGCTACTCAGGAGACTGAGTCACCAGAATCGCTTGAACCCGGAGGCAGTGGTTGCAGTGAGCTGAGATCGTGCCACTGCGCTCCAGCCTGGGCGACAGAGCGAGACTCCGTCTCAAAAAAAAAAAAAAAAAAAAAAATTAAACATAGGCCAGGCGCCGCAGTTTACACGTGTAATCCCAGCACTTTGGGGGGGCTGAGGCAGGCGGATCCCATGAGGTCAGGAGTTTGAGACCAGCGTGGCCAACATGGTGAAACTTTGTCTCTACTAAAAATACCAAAAAAATTGGCCAGGTGTGATGGCTCATGCCTGCAATCCCAACTACTTGGGAAGCTGAGGCAGGAGGATTGCTTGAAGCCGAGAGGGAGAGGTTGCAGTGAGCCGAGATTGTGCTAATGCACTCCAGCTTGGGAGACAGAGCAAGACTCTGTCTCAAAACAAGAACAAAAAGAAAAAACATAGACTTACCATATGACCCAGCAATTCCATTCCTAGCTGCTAGGGACTGAATTTTGTATCATCCTCCCAAATGCGTATGTGGAAGCACAGACTTCCCATGGAACCATATTGGAGATATGGCCTTTAAGGAGGCTGACCAGGCACAGTCACTGACACCTGTAATCCCAGCATTTTTGGAGGCCAAGGCAGGTGGATTACCTGAGGTTAGGAGCTTGAAGCTAGCCTGGCCAACATGGTAAAACCCTGTCTCTACTAAAAATACAAAAATTAACCTGGAGTGATGTTGCATGCCACCATTTTGGCCAGGCTGGTCTCCAACTCCTGACCTCAGGTGATCCGCCCACCTTGGCCTCCCAAAGTGAACCACAGGTGTGAGCCACCAAGCCCGGCCTGAGGTGTCTTTTTAGGATGATGCACACTTTCCAAATTTAGATTGTGATGATGGTTGTACAATTCTGTAAATACGTTATAAACTTCATTGAATTATATACTAAAAGAAGTGAAATTGATGGTATGTTAATTACATATCAGTAAAGCTGGGTGACCATGGTACCTGATGCCTGTAATCCTAGCACTTGAGGTGGGAGGATTGTTTGAAGGCAGGAGTTTGAGACCACCCTGGCCAATATAGCAAGACTGTCCGTACTAAAAATAAATAAACTTGGGCACGCTGGCTCATGCCTGTAATCCCAGCACTTTGGAAGCCTGAGGCAGGTGGAGCACGAGGTCAGGAGTTCAAAACCAGCCTGGCCAAGATGGTGAAACCCCATCTGTACTAAAAATACAAAAATTAACCAGGCATGGTGGCAGGTGCCTGTAATCCCAGCTACCCAGAAGGCTGAGGCAGGAATATTGCTTGAACCCAGGAGGCGGAGGTTGCAGTGAGCCGAGATGGCACCACTACACTCCAGCCTGGGCAGCAGAACGAGAATCTGTCTCAAAAAAACATTTATATATGTTTTTATATATAAAGATGTATTTATATATTTTTATATATTGTATATATATTATATATATTTATATATATATATTTTTATATACATATACACACACACTGGGCACAGTGGCTCACACCTGTAATCCCAGCACTTTGGGAGGTCAAGGCCGGTAGATCACAAGGTCAGGAGTTCGAGACCAGCCTGACCAACATGGTGAAACCCCGTCTCTACGAAAAATACAAAACAATTAGCTGGGTGTGGTGGCACACACCTGTAATCCCAGTTACTCAGGAGGCTGAGGCAGGAGAATCACTTGAACCTGGGAGGCAGAAGTTGCAGTGAGCCAAGATCGTGCCACTACACTCCAGCCTGGGCAACAGAGTGAGAATCCATCTCAAAACATAAAGAAACAAAGAAAGCCTTTTTTTTTTTTTTTTTTCCGAGACAGAGTCTTGCTGTCTTGCCCAGGATGGAGTACAGTGTCATGATCTCGGCTCACTGCGACCTCTGCCTCCCGGGTTCAAGCGACTCTCCCACCTCAGCCTCCTGAGTAGCTGGCACTACAGATGCCCACCACCACGCCCGGCTAATTTTTGTACTTTTTAGTAGAAACGGGGTTTCACCATATTGGCCAGGTGCTCTCGAACTCCTGAGCTTGCGATCTGCCTGCCTCGGCCTCCCAAAGCGCTGGGATTACAGGCGTGAGCCACCGCGCTCAGCCAAAGCCATTTTTTAAAAAAGATCCTTTAGCCTGCTACATTGAGAAGGGCTATAGTTAGAATTTCCAGTTAAAATTCAGTATGTCAAGTTACATCTGAAGAGCAGATATACACATCACATGATTTTCTTTGTTTTAGAGGCAGGATCTCACTGTGTTGCCTAAGGTGATGGAGAACTCCTGAGCTCAAGAGATCCTCACATTTCTGTCCCCCAAAGTGCTGGGATTACAGGCTTGAGCCACCGCGCCCGGCTTTTTTTTTTTTTTTGAGACGGAGTCTCGCTCTGTCGCCCAGACTAGAGTGCAGTGGCGCGGACTCTGCTCACTGCAAGCTCCGCCTCCCGGGTTCGAGCCATTCTCCTGCCTCAGCCTCCCTAGTAACTGGGACTACAGGCGCCCGCCACCACGTCCAGCTAATTTTGTGTATTTTTAGTAGAGACAGGGTTTTACCGTGTTAGGGAGGATGGTCTTGATCTCCTGACCTCGTGATCCACCCGCCTCAGTCTCCCAAAGTGCTGGGATTACAGGCGTGAGCCACTGCGCCCGGCTTATTTATTTATTTTTTTGAGACAGCCTTGCTCTGTCACCAGGCTGGACTGCAGTGGCGCGATTTTGGCTCACTGCAACCTCCACCTCCCGGGTTCAAGTGATTCCCCTGCCTCAGCCTCCCGAGTAGCTGGGACTACAGTGTGTGCCACCACGCCCAGCTAATTTTTTGTAGAGATGGGGTTTCACCATGTTGGCCTCTCTGGATGGTCTCGATCTCCTGACCTCATGATCCGCCTGCCTCAGGCTCCCAAAATGCTGGGATTACAGGCGTGAGCCTCCACCCCTGGCCAGCAATTATTCTTACTATTTTTTGTTTTTTTTTGGAGATAGGATCTTGCTCTCTTGACAAGGCTGGAATGCAGTGAAATGATCTCAGCTCACTGCAGCCTCTACCCTTCGGACTCAAGTGATCCTCCTGCCTC